TGTCTGGATTACATAGGGATTACATAGGGAAGGACAGCCCAGCCCCTGAGCAGGAGAGTTCTGGTATGTCAGCTGCACTCTTAAAAGGTGGGAATGAGGGATGCTGGGAGAACCTAGAGGCCAGGTCCACTTTCATAATTAAATAGGCACCTCATCCTTTATCTCAGGTTTAAAACTTAACATATGTGTTTATTTTTGAACTAGTATCACACTGTTTTTATAATGGTCTCTGTAGTATAACTTGAAGTCAGGTGTGGTGAAGCCTCCAGAATTGTTCCTCTTGATGAAGTTTCCTTTGAAAGAACTATCTCGGTTCTTTTGTGTTTTCCAATACATTTTCAGTTTGTTTTACCTATGTCTGTGAATAATGATGTTGGCATTTTGATGGGATTTGCAATAAATCTATGCATTATTTTTAGTAAAATGGCCATTCTTCAAAATGTTGATTCTACCAACCCCAAAAGCTTAACCTGTCTTCTAGTGTCTTTTTCCATTTCTGTGAGTGTTTTAAAGTTCATATTATATTGTCATTCTCTTCCTAGGTTAGGTTTTAGTCTAGATACTTTTAGAGGCCATTTGGAATGAGATTGATTTCCTGATTTCTTCTCTGTGTTCATTATTGGTATATAGAGACAGATTTTTTAAAAATATTAATTCGTTTTTCTCCAAGAATTTATCAGTTGCAAGAGTTTCCTAATGGAAGCTTTAAGGTCTTTTGTATAGAATTATAAAATTGATTTCTCCCTATCATATTGACAAGACAGTTATTATTTCTTCTATATTGTTGCACTCAATTTTTTTTCTTTCTGTTACTATGGGGAATTAACATGTTGGAAATCAATGCTTATATTGTTAGCATTTTGTCTAGGCTCCGCCCCAGAGTTACCAGGCAAAAGTCAGATGTGCCTAACTCACTATATAAGGGGCTGCTTGGCCTCTCCTTCCTCTCTTGCCTTCTTGTTTTTGCACTGTCTCTTGCCCTTTCCTCCTGTCTCCCCATTCCTCTCTTCTCCCTCCCAACAACTCCAAGTGCTCATGGCTGGCCTCTGCTTTCTCCCTCTCTCTCTCTCTCTCTCTCTCTCTCTCTCTCTCTCTCTCTGCCTTTCTCTGTCTCTTCTACCCTCTCAACTCCCCTCCCCATTCCCTGAATAAACTCTATTATATACTATACCATGTGGCTCAAGGGGAAGGGATGCCTCAGTATGGGTCCACAGAGGCACCCCCTTCCCCCACACCTGACTACACATCCACCAAACATATTCCTTGTATCTTTATTTTTTATAAAGCACAACATATTCTAAATAACTATTAAGTTCCAAATATTAAGGCAAACATGATGCAAATTTTTCCTAATCTTATGTGAGCTGTAGATTTTTACCTGGGTGCCTTTTACTTTATTGTGGAAGTCTTTTTTTAAATCTTAATTTTCAGAGTGAATGTATAAAATACAAGAGCTCTTTTGTGTCTCTAAGGAGACTTAATGGCTCTTCTTTTAGGGTCTGTAGGTATAGTGAGCTACCTCAGCTGGTTTCTGAGCTTTAACTCCAACTTGAATTCCTTACATTTATTCCCAAACTTATGAACAAATCCTCCGGATATCGTGCGATTCAGTTTGCTAATATTTTATTTTTGTTATTTGTTGGTATTTGTTGATCAGTTATCTCTTTTCTATAGAATTTATCCAAATATCTACTTAAGTGTGCAGGGCCAAGGGATCTGTGCTTAGTTTCCTTTCAGTCTTTGGACTCCATCATCGGTGTGTTTGTGAATCTCGAGTAGGACAGGCAGTCTGTCCTTTCAAAAATTAGATACCCTTGTTCTCTGAAGATAAGAGGTAGGGTGATAGGAAATACAGAAATACATTGGCGTATGCGTTTTTCAAGGAAAACTAGGAAGATTAAGCAAGTTTAAGCCACAGGTTTGTTTTCTCACTTTCTGTCAGTCTCTCCATTCTCCATAGGACTGAATAAAATCAAGTTGCCGGCGCAAAGCTGTTAACTGCTAGGATAAAGCGTGTTGACCCTGTCTTAAGCACCAAGAGAAGAACCTTGCTTGTTTTCTTATTTAAAGGCCGGGAAAACACTTGCGCGCAGGCGCAGGAGGAACTGGCGCCACTTAGTAAAATCTTGCCCCGCACCGAGGAAGTGGGAGGGACCTGTAGTAGCCTCTCATTCGCTGCGGCGCTTTAGTGCGTGTGACGTCACTGCGCCGCGACCCGGAAGTGCGCGTGCGGCCGGGGCAGCGAGCGGAGAAGCGGGTCCTCCCTCGTAGTATGAATGCCACGTTTCTAAGGCACCTTGGCGACTCAGCTGTGTAACGTGCGTCCGAACGCGCCCTTGGGAGATGGCGGGAGGTGGAGGGTGCTCCCCGCTCTGGGCGACGTCCGGTCTCTCTTCTTTGAGCCATGGGCGGCTGTCGTATCTCAGGGCCGGTTCCGCGCAGTTTTCAAGAGTTAGGGAAGAAAGCAGGCGTTTCATATATGCGACCTGCTTGAGGGTAGCTGTCCTCTTGGCGCGCTACTTTTCTTGGGGTCCTTTAAGAGCTCCCACCTCTTGGAGATCGAGCAGACGGCGAGAATTGCCGAGGCAACCTTGCAAAGTTCCAACTTCGGAGGCTGTAACCTCGAGGCCGACATTGCGTAGGACGAGAGTGATGAGCACTTGTAACTGATGTGTTCTGGAAACCTGCTGTTGCTGCAATCTAATGTTTTATTTTCTGGCACTCTAAGTCTCTCCTGCTTCCGATATAGTAAACGTAGCAAGAGTACTTGGGTAGCTGCCATCGAAGTGGTTTAGTGTTCCATAAAGGATCACTTACACATTTTTATCCGGAGAGAGGAGTTTGCTAGTGGAGCTGTCTGACAGCGTTTGTTTGCCCTCCTTTTGAAGTTTAATTACCGTACCTGTGTGTTTGCATTATAGATGTGTGGTTGGTGACTTGTTTCCAGATGCAGAGCTTCCTGTATCCTTGGCACAGGCAGGTCCTGAGCTGTAATTGGAGTAGATTGTGCCTTCTAAAGCGATACCTATTTACAATGAAGTTGCAGTCTCCAGAATTCCAGTCACTTTTCACAGAAGGATTGAAGAGCCTGACAGGTGAGAAGTTAAGGTTGCCTTCTGGGCTTTGGAATTGTTTACCACAGAAAAGTACAAGGCAGACATCTTTCTGCCAGTGTTGAGATATTTTTGTGGCTCCAATGAAAGACAGACCTACTTGGGGTATATTGAAAATAGTGAAAAGTTGACTGCAGCATGAAGCACAACTTTTCTGTGTCCCCCAAGAAATTCCATGTACCATACATTATGTAATGAGACCCAACATCTTTAGATATGTGTTCTCCTGAACGGAAGAGGAAACACGTGCTTAGGAAGTGAAGTGCCTGTCTGTTTCCCTAATAACTTATTGAAGGAGTTGGATTTTAAATCACAGAGTCTGATGTCATCCAGTTTGTTAACACTGAAGCTATGTTTTCCTTTGTTGTATTCCTCTCTGAGAGAACAGAAGGAAATAGAATTTTTTTCCTCTTTTTCTGTATATGCACCTATAAAGCTTGTAAATTTAAATATAAAGCTGCAATTTAAAGCCTGTTGGTATGTCAAAAATGGCTTCCAGGAGTATAGTGTGTGATTGTGTAAACCACCTCAGTGACTGACATGCACTCGAGGTGCCTTTTTATTGCTGAGGTGAGCAGGGTATATGTTCTGTGTTGAGCTCAGAAGACTACTTGTAGAAGTCAATAGTCTCCACTGTGTGTGTTCAGGAATGGAACTCAGGTTATCAGCCTTCCTGATAAGGACTTTTACCCACTCAGACATCTCCTAGGCCCTTGAAATACTTTTAAAACAAATGATAGGATTCTGACTCAAGGACAAACATTTATTTGATTTGTTTTTACTGTATAAGTTTATGTTGAAGAAACCATGGGAAACACTGCTTTAAGATTATGCTATTCCCAAGGCTTCTTTTCTACTCTTGAAATGAGATGATGGTATTTTAGGTACCTACCGAGGAGAACATTTTAAGTTCTTTAGGTAAAGTAGAGGGTGTCAATTTGAGTTTATGATGCTGTTTACACTGTGATTTAGACAGAGTAGAAAATGCCAGAAATTCTCTGTCCAATAGAAAACTAAAAAGAAATGAGTGAAATTAATAGTGTATGTAGAATATATATGACAAAGTTGCTACCTGATAGCATTCTTAGCTTTTGGATTGATAGAAGCTAGTTTGGTAGGCTATCTTTAATTTGTAGCTAGATGGTGAGACCTCAGATTAAAACTGACTGGAAACCCAGAGTCATCCTTCATGAACTGTGCAAGGCATGGCTTGGATAGTGTTCATACTGTATATACCACAAGTGCAGATTGGTTCTATAATACATACAGTTTTACTTTTAAGGACTCTTTGCTATAATATATTTCATAGGTTTCCTGCATAAGCATACTGTGTCTACATTTGTCCCAAAGAAAAAGAGAGTTCCATTCTAAAGTACACACATACACCACAGAGAAGCAAGCGTAATTGTTTTATTGCTTGCTTTTCTGTTGGTGATAATCATATTTATAGTGGTAACTCTAAGTTATCTTGGAATTTTGAACTAGCTTCCAGATATGAAAGAAATTTTCAAAGATCTCTTCTATAGTTCTAAGGAGCAGTCTACAGTAGGAGAACCGTTTCTGAAGATAGGACTTGCTTTCATTCTCATACAAGACTGCACAGTTCAGTGATCTCTACTATCTGATACATATGACAAGACCTTGTGCTTATATTATTCTTAATCTTTAATCACACATTGTGCTTTAAAAAACAACTAAAACTAGACAAACAAATCCTTCTTTGCTCAGAATTATTTGCCAAAGAGAATCATGAACTCAGAATAGCAGGAGGGGCAGTGAGGGATTTACTAAATGGGATGAAGCCTCAAGATGTGGATTTCGCCACCACTGCCACCCCTACCCAGATGAAGGAGATGTTCCAGTCGGCTGGCATTCGCATGATAAACAACAAAGGAGAGAAGCACGGAACTATCACTGCCAGGGTAAGTGCAGCTGACCGTACTGCCTATGTCATTCTGTGACTATTCGAAGTGTAACAGTTTTGCCCAATTTTTAAAAATTGGAATGTAACCTAGAGTGTTTGTCTCAGTAGAAATGTCCATGCCCCCTACCCTCTGGAATCTTCCATACTCTTCTATTGGAGCTACTTATGTAAGTTTGATACTTTTTTCACTTTTACGTTTCTGAAGTAAAACCAAATAAGTCCTCTCTTGTATGTTTTTCATTGTAGGTTTGAAGATGGTCTTCATTCCTGTGAAGCACTTCCTTCCCTACCCCTCTCTCCTCAGCAAGCCCATATAATTCCCCTTTGCCCATCTTTCTAGGGTATTGATACTATAGATTTTTGTTAATTCCGGTTTAGAGTTTGCATTTATGACTGTGTTATTTATAGCTGCATTCTATGTATACTGTACTCAGGCAGGCCTTCGGGACTGTTCCACAAGGCACTGCTCTTACCACAGGAAAGACACTCCATCTGTGTAGTTCCATAGACCTTCCCAGTGGGCTGGGATATGGGGTGGACGACAGTGACGTCGCTGATTTTCACTGCCCTCTCTTTCTCCCATAGAATTAAACTAATCTGAGACTCGTTAACAAAACTTTTTTTTTTAAAAAGAGGGAATATGATTTACAACAGGACATAAACTATTTTTATGGTTGTATCTCAAGTTTCAAAAGTTACTGTAAAAAGTTTTAAATAAATGTTAATGAAATTGCCTAGCAACAGATTTCTTAGAATATATCTCCTTTGTTAAATGAATGACATGTGATGTACATTAAAGCGACTATAAAACATGTAGTATTGCAAATACAGAAGCTAGGGAAGAGTTTGTGCGGCCAGTGTCGTGACTCAGTAGGGAAAGGCATCTGCTCCCAAACCTGACAACTTGAATTGTGTCCCCAGGACCCCAATAGCGGAAGGAGATAACAGATTTGGGCATGTCGGCCTTGGCTGTGGCACACATGTACACTTATGCTAAAGGTTCAAACCGTAACAGCACAACTTGTGCTTACCTGCAGCTTCATGAAGAAAACTTTGAAGTTACTACGCTCCGGATTGATGTCACCACTGATGGAAGACATGCAGAGGTAGAATTCACAACCGACTGGCAGAAAGATGCTGAACGAAGAGATCTCACGATAAATTCTATGTTTCTAGGTAATCTCCTGAGAAGATAGGACCAGTCTGTCTGAGAGCCAACTTTCTGTGTGAAGCCTGTGCTATGGAACAATTATCTAACATTTAAATTGAACTTTGATCAGAATCTGTTGGTTGAAGTTAACATCACTACTTGTAAACGGGAGTATTTCTGTCAGTTTCCATTTTAGTACTGTAGTGAAGATTAAGGAAGTAACTGTCAGTGCTTAATTGGGGGTCGGGGGAGGAGGGCTCAGCGTCTAGTGGAAGGAACCCAGAGTGCCTGCTTTGTTACAGCCTCTTATCACATAGCTATTACTCAGTCTGAGGGAAATCTGAAAAGCTTTTCAAAAACTTGTATTGTGACTTAAAGGCTGAAATGTTATTTTTTTAAAGATTTCTGGATTTAAATTTTTTTAACCTGTTTTTTATTTACATGGTCTGCTTTTTGTTTTTGAATTTTGAGTGTGTGTTCAGGTCATCTTAGAAACTCTTCTCAGTGTGTTGAATGCTGAGCTAATATGTATTTTGCCACCTTGGTTTATTTCAAAATAGGTTTTGCATATTAGGGAAATTAGCCATTAGTATCTTGGTATTGAGACAATTTTCCCCAGAATTTTACTCAAGCTTATAATTTTATTTTTTCTTTTTTGCCAATAAGCTTATTTATATTTTCTAAAAAATGAAAACTTTTTATTCTTTTTGTAAATTGCACATCATGCACCCCAGTCCTACTCAATTCCCCATCTCCTTGTATCAGCTCTCCACCCTTGTAACCTCCACAACAGGAAAAAAAAAGTGTTTGTGGAAGCTATAGTGTGTTAGTGTGTCTCACAGTATACCGTTTTGTCCACACTTCTCTGCTTGCAAATCTTCACTACAATGATTCCTTGGTCTGGTACAAGGCCTCTGGCTTGTAACTACTCTATCAATACTGAAACCTCACTGGGACTAATCTTGGATCGCTTGTTGTTGCCCTGGGTCGTAGAGATTTTGCAGCCTTGGTTTTGTAGGACCATCCCATTCACACGCTCCAGCAGTTCATAGATGTTTTTACTACTATGTCTGTTACAGTGTTTAAGATGTTGTTTCTGAATGTATGCAGATGTGTGTGCACAGAGACTGGGAAACGTACTGATTGTTCTGCATTACTTTCCACCTATTCCTTTGAGGCAGGGTCTCCCACTATTCTTATTTTCGTAGTATTAAGTCTTATGTTTAGAAGATTATCTATTGCTGTTTATGTTCTGGGTCTATCTGGTGTTCTGTCTGATATCTTCCCCTCCATCCTACTTTACACACATGTGGGGAACTGATGTTGTTTATTCTTGACGGTCCTGTCTCTCATTTAGTAGTAATATACAGGAGTACTGTTACAACCTAGGTTTTCACTTTTAACTCTTACTGAACTTTACTGTTTGTGGTAGTTTTCAGATGATTTTTCTTCCCACTAAATCCTTGCTAATGATTTTTCTTCTCTCTTTTCTGATGAATAGGTTTTGATGGTACACTGTTTGATTACTTTAATGGTTATGCAGATTTAAAAAATAAAAAGGTTCGATTTGTTGGACATGCTAAACAGAGAATTCAGGAAGATTATCTTCGAATTTTAAGGTATTTCAGGTAAGAACTTATAAATTTCAACAATAGAAAATTTCGGCTTTTCATGTCACTCCTTGAGACACCCCAAGTACCTGTCTTCAGTGTTGAGTAGCACCCTTTGGCCTTTATTCTGAAGTATACATAACTGAACCATTCTTTGTAGCTTTGAATTATTAATATCTTTTTCCTTCATAGATTCTGTGGTTTAAATCCTTACCACAGGGCAGGTATTGTGCTAGGTGCTCTAATTACAGAGAAATGAGTTAAAGTGTCTGCTCTCACAAACTTAAGAATCGAGATGCTTTGGAACGTATCTGGTGCCTCAACACAAAATGACACACACACAAAAGAATGCTATTAAGTGAGTGGTACAACAAATCAGAGTTGTTGGAAGAACTTGCTAAGTGTGAAATGAATCGTAGTTATATGAGTATTAGTGGTTTTAATTTTTGTAGATTTTTAATGGATGCATAAACATTAGCTATATACATCATGTATGTGTAATGTCTTGATACATTGGAATTGAAGGTAAACATCTCTTCCCTTAAAGCTATCATGTTTATGATAAAAGCATTCAATTCCCTTCTGAACTTTTTGGTTATCTTCTTTGCAGCAATGATATTGTCATCTGTGTGTGTCCCTGTATCATTGTCCTCAAGGATAAGTCAGCTAACATATTCTAGTCCTCAGGTTTTCAACTTACTCTAGTTTAGTTACATGTGTATTATGCATTATTTGGCTTTCTGTGTACAGATTATTTAACTCTTATCTCTATCTTTATTGTTATAAATGACAGGATATTGCTTCAAGAGTGGGAGATATGCCTATAATTCTAACACCAAGGGAGCCTAAGGCAGGAAGGTCATGAGTTCAGTGCAGCCTTGGCTACACACCAAGTTTGAGGCCACTGCACCACATTTTTGGTGTGTTCCATTTCCTCTGACAGTTGATCATCAATACATTTTTCATTTCTTGGCTGTTTGTTTTCAAAAGTGAGCCACAGTGAACACAGGAGAGCCAGCATCACCTCCTGACAGACATGACTTTCTTTAAATATATAAGGTGCATCTCTTTTTGGTCTTCAGAGGAGCAGCCCCAGCTTTCACAGGGCTTGTACTAGTTTATTTCTGGTTAGCATTACAAGTGGGTTTCTGTATGACTTTTGTCACGCTTGCTAACTTTGATAATAGCTATTCTTACTGTACTAAGATGCTGTAATTTCATATGCATTTGAGTTTCTTCTATAATCTAAATAATGCCTCATCAGATGTACCAATTACAAATATTTTGTAGCTTGTATCTTGGTAATTTCTTACAAGTAATTTTTTTTTTAAAAATCCAAATTCTAACCTTTAAGGAAAAACAACAACAACAGCAAAAAAAAAAAAAAAAAAAATCCCCAGAAATATCCCCTACGTGGCTAGTATATATCTAGTAACATTACTCAAGAGTACCGTGTAGCACAGCATATTTTGTCAATAAATCCAAGTTTTGTAAACTTGAGTCTATGTAAACTTGAGTCTGATAATAACAGACCAGACATCAAGTGTAGCACTGTCCATGCTTGGTCGATCCCTCACCTAGATGTAGATGGGGCAACCCTAGTCAAAATGGAAAATACTGTAAGTGGTGATCTAGGTGTGGACAGAGGTAACTACTCTGAGGGTATTTCTCTTTTCTTTTGTTATAAACTTAACAAAAAAAGTCACACATATCAAATATCTTACAGGTTTTATGGCAGAATTGTCGACAACTCTGGTGACCATGAGCATGACCATGAGACTCTAGAAGCAATTGCAGAAAATGCCAAAGGCTTGGCTGGAATATCAGGAGAGAGGATTTGGGTAGAACTGAAGAAGATTCTTACTGGTGACCATGTAAACCATTTGATCCACCTGATCTATGACCTTGATGTGGCTCCTCACATAGGTGAGAACAGGTTATACAGGTGGGAATTTCTAGCAACAAAATACCTAGTGTAAAAAGTACACAAGGTAAAGTGTTTTGTATTACATACCCAAGGAATTTAAAGTAGTGAAATGAAATTCTGAGATAAACTTTGGGATAAAGGATGGAAATAGTTTATTTATGGGTAGAGCATAGTTCAGCACGAATACTTGAATTTGATGAAGCTGTGCCACTTACTGGCTTTGCAGGGTTGGGTTGGTTTATCATCACAAAGGGTTCAAAATAAAAAGTTACTTCATAGAAAGTAGGAGGAAGCAATAAGTTAATGCATACTAAGAGAAGAGCTTTCACAAGAATACTTAGTATATAGAAAGGAAATTAATAATTATAGCCAATATATTCTAGACAGTAACTTTGACTCTATTTCACAAGAACATAAAATTACTGAGTAGGGAATGGGTACAGACAGGACCATGACTAAGAAGGCATATGTTGACGTGGTCACAGCTCCTCAACTTCACACTACATCTCACTATGGGAAACAACATGATCGATTTCCTCTAGGAGTTAAGGAAGTGACAAATGGGCTGATAATCAGCAGTGGAGAAAGAACACTACACATTCTTAAAAATCTGCATAGTTTAAGAGATGAGTGAAGGTTTTGTAGTTAAGAAAAAAAAATGACTTTTCTCCTTTGTTTATACAGGTTTACCTGCTAATGCAAATCTAGAAGAATTTAACAGAGTCAGTAAAAACGTTGAAGGCTTTTCACCAAAACCAATGACTCTTTTGGCCGCTTTATTCAAAGTACAAGATGATGTCACAAAACTGGATTTGAGATTGAAAATTTCAAAAGAGGAGAAAAACCTGGGTTTATTTATAGTTAAAAACAGGAAAGACTTGGTTAAAGCAACAGATAGTTCAGAACCATTGAAACCATATCAAGACTTTGTTATAGATGTAAGTATGTGTTAGGTTTGATTGGAAAATAGTTTGCGCTAACTGGAGAGAAGTAACTTTTTCAAACTGTAGATTTGATATAAGTATTTAAATAGTAGAATGAAATTGTGAGTGTTTAGTATGTGATAAAATCATGTCACTTAGTCTAGGGAACCGGATGCAACTGCCCGTGTTTGTGAGCTGCTGAAGTACCAAGGAGAGCATGGTCTTCTCAAGGAGATGCAGCAGTGGTCTGTCCCACCATTCCCTGTGAGTGGGCACGACATCAGGAAAGTGGGCATTTCTTCAGGGAAGGAAATTGGGGCCCTGCTACAGCAGTTGCGTGAACAGTGGAAGAAAAGTGGTTACCAAATGGAAAAAGATGAACTACTAAGTTACATAAAGAAGACCTAAAAAAATGAGCTCTATATGAAACAGTGCAAAGTCTTGGTGAGACTGGTTTTCTTTCCTTCTGTGTCTTACTGAAACCCTAAGAAACAGCATGAGTGTATACTGAAACACTAAGCTCAAGTTTACCTCCTCTTAATACAGCTTAACTCTGAATCTTCCAACTCTTGGAGCAGCTCCAGGGGAGAAAAGTCATAGCTGTTATTTATTTAGACTGGCTGTTGATCTTAAAATGTGGTAACTGTGTGTTAAAATAACTTAGTTTATGTTGTCTTAGCTGTTTTCTGAATTAGTCCACAATGGCATCTATTTATAACAAGATTGATTCTTACTTCAGAAAGTTGTAGGAATAACAGGAGGGCTTGTGTTGAGACTCCTGCCTTTATATCAGGCAGTGAACACATTGTTTATTTTACTAATTAGATGGATATGGCTTAGATTTTTGATATTTTATAATTAACTCTACTTATTGCATAGCCACTCATAGATGTCTGTACAAGCAAACCATAGATTTTGAATTTTCTTGAAAGTCAAATAGGGTTCTGTTGTATAAAAGGAAGCATCAAAATCTACTTCACCTAGGTCAGTAAATAACCTGGATTTTAAACTATGGAGTTCCTGCTGTTGCCATCTGCACAGGAGTGACATCAAAGCAGCTATGTTGTGTGTGTAAGATTCCTTTAAACAGCATTATCTGAAAGTAATGGTAAACAGTATATGGATCATCAGATTATACTGCAGCAGTTAAAGGCATAATTCCCCCACTTCATTACTGCAGCTTGAATGAAATAGAGCGTTTTTAAAAAATGACATTGAGGAATAGCCTATTCGTGAGTTACATTTTATTACTGTACTTACACTTTTTAAAGTATTTTACTTGATTACTTTGACATAATTCAACTAAAGAGAATAGATTTGGATATAGATATTAATGTTGGCCAGGTTTATTTAAAGATGCCCTTCAGTTGCTTTTACTTTATTTCCTTAACGGTATAATCCTAGAAATATATACTGTTCACTTACATTTGCAAATGAAATGCAAAATGGACATATACATTAGTTAAAGGGATCTACACATCACAGGCTCATCAAATTGTGCAAATACACCAAATGCTATTATTTTTTTCTGCTCAAACTGCTTATTTTACTCTTTAATATTTTCAAAATTTACAAATCAGAATCTCAGACAAGCTAAAGAAAATTGAAAGGAGCAAAGTCCTTTTAAAATTACACTGCCTTGCCTCTGTCTTGTGCTTACCAACTCAGCTTCTGGAACATTCATCATTTAGAGCAGTGGTGCCCCTATCCTGTTCCATAGCCATTCCCATTATTTCAACTGTGTTTTCTTATCCTATCATGACATAGATTCAACAGGATAATCAATGGCACCAAGCTATTAAAAGCAAGTATTTCTGAATCCAACGTTGTGTTTTATACTGCTTTCTCATTTCCTAAACAAATTGGTCTTGAACTTGGTAGCCAAATGCAGTAACCCACTATACACATTATCAGAGGCAGTGATGTCTGGGCAGATCTGATTTGAGAAAATATCTGTTAGGAAGTCACTCCTACAGGTGCACTTATAAACAAAGTAGTACTTTGTCTGGACTTAGTTCATCTTCAGTCTCTGGAATTGTGGGTAACAGAGCAGAGCGAGTTAAACCCCAAAATTTTTGAGGTGACATGTCTTTTTTGGTGGCTGTAAATTTCCATCCAATATGGCTTGCACAAATCTTGCACTGTGCAATGGTCCATGCATACCTATAGAATGAAGGAAAGGTATAAGCTAAGAAAAACTATTTTTAACCTTTGGTCTAGGTTTGTCATTAAATTTCTCTTAAACCTCAAATTTACAAAACCACTTTGTTAGAATTTGATACTGTATTGATAGTATGGTTTGGTAATTATTACTGCACTTGTCTTTATGTTGCTGTTTGCTCCAGCTTTAACCTCACTGCTTTCTTCTACATTTCTGTTGTAGAGGAAGGAGAGCATGAACCCCTCGAAAACTTCTGCTCTCAGGTTACCATTTTACCATTTTTCTCAGGTGGTGGATTCTGCATATAGTGCTTAACATTAGCATATTAATGTTAGCTTTAAAATCCTCAAGAATGATGCCAAGTAAGAGGATTTTTCTTCAAGTGCAAGGATTATAAATCACTAATCCCTAATTCTGCCACTTCCAAAGAAAAAGGGAGATCCAGATTAAAGCAAGCTAGAAAAAAACCCAAGATTTACTGGTTTCTACATCTCATATGTCCCTGCTTTAACCTATGGATGAAATGACTAAACTATTTCTGTTCTGTTTGTTTGGTATCCTTTCTAGAAGCTTCGTTTAAGACTAAAGGAAGAGTCAACAACAAAAAAAATTAAACAGCCGTATTACCCGGGAAACCAGCTGTGCACTGTAGAAGGCCGGCCTATCAGATTCAGGTTGGAAGCTTTATACACAGTCAGTGTCTCATGTACATATCCATGAGGATTCACATATGCTGCCATAGGACCACATAAAGATAAACTGCAAACAAAGAAACAATGTGGAGAATAAGACTATGAAAAGAAAAAGTAATTCCAGTTTTTTACTTATTTGGGATATAAGTTATGCCTCAATTTTAGGTATTATACAGTACTTTGTGTAAAATGTTAAGACCAGTATACAGGAGTTCGGGAGACATTCTATTGGCTTGAAAATATTCTTTGATGATTCAAAGGGAAATATACCAGTGTTTACAAAGCCAAGCCTAGTGAGGTCAGGTTTTTATCTTTGGGACAGGCTTTACCCAGATTATCAGTTTCCTTACCTTCTTGAGTTATAATTCTAATGAGTTCATGTTTGACAGCATTAGCACATATTCAGAGAGAGACCTACTCAATTTTGGTCCTGTGTAGCAGAACTAGCTGAAATGTAATGCTTGAAGGATGTCTCTAAACAAATATTAAGGGGAAAAACATTGGATAGATAGTAGAGATGTTTCCAGGCTGGAAGACAGCCTTCCCTGTGTTTATGTTCTTTACTGAATATATTTTAGGCACTGGAGGAAATACAGAAATTGGAACCACAGAATTCTGAAAGGAAAGTTGGAAATATTGATAGATTAAAAATATAATAAAGATCTTACCTAAATATTTCATTCTTTGTTGTTATTTCTGTTTCTTGACATTGTTTACAGCAAAGGGAAGTACACTAAAAAGGTTAAATGAAAAAAGTAAGCATGTTACCCAGGTGATGAATAAACTTCTCTAGGGCACTAATGTCTTGGGTTGTAGATCACACTTCCAAGCAACCAAATTTACATTGTGGAATGCAAAAATAATTTGAAATGATTCAAATTTTCCCACTGAATATATCTTATTCAGAGTTGGACACTATTCTTTATATATTCCTAATCTGCTAAATTTGAAACGGTCTAAGTTACAGGGCATTTCAGATTAGAGATGTTTTTAATGCAAACTGTAGCAGGTAAACAATTACTTCTAGTATCTGACTGTATTAGTACACAATCAAGGTAGCTTGAGATCTCAACTGTCTATGTATCCAGACTGAAACCTAAACGACAGACATGGACACTTTACTCACTTTGTTTATGATGTCTAACTCACAGCGAAGCCGTTGAATAGCACTGCCAATTTTAAGGAGCTGAATTCTCAATACATCATCAATAGGAAGACAAGCAGCTACTCTGTAAGAAAAGTCTTAAAAGACAGGTTTGCAGGCTTTAAACTTAGGAATCATTAATATACACTTAAGTTATTTTCCTTTAAGTCATACATATGCATGAACTGGCTTATAAACGCACAAAGATGACACAGAAAGCTAAGTCTTGGAGCCAGTTTCTCTTGTAAAGGCTCTATAAAGAACAGGAAGGATCTCCACTTCTGCAATTCAGCTTAAGTTAGAAAATTAACAATTTTCCATTGTGGATTCCACTGTGGCTTGAAATATTAATTTCTTTAAAAAAAATGTTCAAAGTAAAAGAAATGTAAATCCTTTTTCAGAATTCAAAGTTTGGTTTAAACTGAGTAAAATTTAAGGCTTTTTTTCCTTTATCAGCAGCATGCAAGATAGCAAGTACTTGCCATACCTATTGGATTTGCAGGAAGAGAGTCATCTTTGAGATTTTCATCCCATTCACGTAGCTGTTTCTTAATTCTATCCATTAATGTTTCCTGGTTTGGAACAAAAGCCACAGTAAGGTTCGACCCTTAAAAAACATACACTGGTACTAAACCTGAGACCAGGTATAATGTCTGTGTTTTAAAGGTGAATTGAATTTAATTCCCAGGCTTCTCGTCTTTAGGCTGTTTATCCCAAGGAGTATGATTCTAAGTGCCTTTGGATGTTCTAGGCTCCAGCTTGAACTGGACCCTCTTCTGACTTTCTCAAGTCCTTTTCTGACTTAGTGCAAATGGCACTGTGCTCCTGTAGTAACATTTACTATCTACACACTTCACCTGACAACTAGTTTTTATATAGAAAGTGCTGTCTGCCTTTTCCCAGGCATTAGCACACTTTCACAGACTGCATCTGAGCCTTTGTGATGACTCAAAAGCTGCTGAAAGGCAGACACCAACTCCATTTCCCTTCAGTGGTATGTACATCGTACGTGTTCATATTGTTTAATTTTTCTAGTTTTTAAATTTCTTGGCAGGAATTCACTAAGAAATACAACATTTGTTTAATGCTTACTATGTGTTGTTATATCCATCTGTGCCAAACCAGAGTAACTGACATGGAGCATTGAAGGCAGTCTGTTTGTTCCAAATCAAGATTCTCTATGTTACCCTAGTATTGTTTCCTAGTGGGTATCTAAGCAGGGGCAGTGTACTCTTGTACCTGACAAGCACAAGCCTTTGCAGATGCACATGCTAATGAAGCAGAGATATGCAAGAATATACTTGCTTGGAGAATAAGTATTGAGATATAAGAATTCTTATTCTTAATTTCACGTGACCCTTTATAATTTCAGTAACCCAAGTTTATCATCATATTTTGCTAAGTTACAATTATAGGACTATAAAAATTCTAATAAAGACAACTTCCCAGTAACACCTACCTGTTGTGCTTTAATAAATTACAAGTACTGAAGTAACATACAAGTTTCAGTAAAGTTACTTACAGCGTCATATAATGAATACAGCCAGCGAGGCCACGATGTCAGATTTGCACAGTGAAACTTTCTCTGAAACAAAAAGTGCCACTTATTAAAATTCAAGGGGAAGATTCTAATAATACAAATAGTAATATCTGAAAATGATTAGTCCTATAAAAACACTAATTTTAAAAAGATAATCTCCAACAGATTATCTGAAATGTATTCACACTCTGAAATATTTGACAATTACACTTTTATGCTTTTGAAATACTTGACAATTACACTTTTATGCTTTTGAAATACTAGATCTAGAATCCTCATCCTTATAGAGATGTAAATACTTTCAATACCTTAATTACAAAGATTCACATTGAGAAATGCTGCTCACAAAGTATACTGAATACTATGTGAGTGGTGAAACTACACTTAGCTACATGGTACACCCTATTGCTTCTAGACTACAAGCTCACACAGCATTTGTAATGAATACTGTAGAGAACTAAAACACAATAGTGTACTAGAAACTAAGCTTTAACAAGTATAAAAGAATAAATGTTATGCTAATATGGGACCTTTATCATAGGTAGGTTATGCAGAATATTAATTTTTTTGGTGGGGGAGAAGGAATAAAAAGACGACCTAGCCTATTACTGTCTAAATATTGCTACAGAATATATGTACTATATATTAAATATATGAGTTATTTTCTTCACTAATCTTGCACAAGACAAATTCTTCAAGTACAGGGTTTAGAGGTGTATTTCAAGGGGATGCGATTGTTATTTGCACACATTTTAGGAATTACAACATGGTAGAGATAAATTTTCTGAAGCACCCATTGGGCTACAGCTCAAAGTAGATACTTGAAAGAAAAAAAAACAGAGCTTGGCATACACTTGTATTTCCCTTTATCTAAAGATGGTCTGGATGGTTTCCTACTCAAGCTCAGCTCAGGAATCTAATGAGCCAGAGCAAAAGACTTAGGTCCTCCCCAGTAAGTAAGGCCAAACATTACTGTCGTAGTTCAATTATAGATTTTTTTTAAATGTGCTACCAATAATAATAACACATAACTAAGGCGTAATCACCATGAAAACTATTAATACTGTGGCAAGAATTTCATCTTCTATTATAATACCAGATGGCTACTAGAAGTATGTCCATTTTAAAGGTAAGTAAAGCCAGGAACAGGAGGTCACAGATTTCATAATGGAAGTAGCTAGGATTTAACTAGTGTTTATTCAATGTGTTCATCATTTTTGTGTATTTGGGATACTATACAGCTATAATACAACTAATAGAAAAAAATAAATCACAGCCCATGAGGCTTATACTTTTGGGAAAGAAATCTACTTCTTAAAATTAGAAATACTTTAAATTACAAATAACAGGAAACCAAGAAAAAAAATTCTGTTGCAGTGGCTGACACATGTTCAACTAGGTAGTAAAACATATTTTCATATTAAGATGATCACTTCTGTAGCACCAAGGCATAAAGCATAGTGCAAAAGTATAATTTGACACAAGATAAAGAGAAGCCCAATGCACTTATTTACATAATCATAAGGAAACATCTTCACATAGTAACAGGAATGCACTGACAATGCCACCGTTTTGCATGGCCCCGACATACAAACAAGCTGGTGTCTCAATTCCCTTTGAAGCAAAGGACTTCTAAAAATCTTTATCCTGTACAAAGAAATGTAGTTAATATGCTTTTAACAGTAATCACACAAACGGAAGGGAGAACTGTTAGTTCTTACAGAGCAACCAGCCTGAACTCAACAGCCATCCATGAATCCTCCTGACTTGCCAGCACAGGGAGTGGCTTCTCTTCTGTATCAGTGCTGTGAACTTTCAGCAGTTCACAGGTGTTCCTAAGGTTTACTTTGTAAAAGTATTATCCTTTAATAAACCTGAAATACTAGCCAGAAAGTTGAGGTACTTAAAGAGGCTAAGGACTGTCTTCACACATGTTGCAGTCATTCAGGGAACAGAGTTTACTGATGATCACACACATAAAGGCCCTTAAAATGAAACTGCAAGAATTTTTAAAAATTGTGAAAAGCCTATCAAATTCACAATGAAACTGATAAGATAATAGGAAAAAAAGGTTAAAAGTAATCATTCTACTGACATGGGCCAAGAGATATTTTTGGTTTGATCTCCTATTAAAATGAATTAGAAGTTGACAATTTTTGTTTTTCTTTCACTTATCACATTTCTCTTGGTACTGAGAGCTGGTATGATCTTTACTATTCTAGTGTTTTATGAGCTGGTGTTAGATACACAAATATATATGCATAATATGTGTGCAAAGGGAAAAATCTCAAGTCTTTCTGTGTCAATAGAATACACAAGACCTAACTTATCTTAGGAAGTTTCACTAAAAAGTAGCAGTGAGAAGGCCCGAGCCCCTACTTGTATTCAGTGTTTACAAACTTGAGAAAGCTACAGCAGTACAGTACATATAGACAATAACAGGAGAAGTCAAAGTTAAAACCTATCTGGTCTGAGGTGGTCACTCAAATTACTGAAGAACAACAAACTCTTAGCAACTGCTATAGGGCACGTATGAACCACCTGGAGACAGTGATATTCATATGAGGATAAACATGGACTATTGTTTACAAGAGAAAAATATGTACATACCCTTTCTTAGGTAGTTATTACAATTTAGAATACTAAAGCAGCACACTAAGCTATACTTACATAAAGTCAAAAACTCCCTGTAAAATAGCACACCAAAACCAAAACTAGCTGATGACAACTGAGAGGAAACAAATGTATTACAATGACAAAACTAATGAGTTCTTAGAAGCCAGTGAGCCAGTAGGAAAAAATATAAACAGAAACTTCATAGACAAACACACAAAGCCCTTAAATAAAATGCTAAAAGCAATTATGCAAGTTAAGTTAAATTCATAAGGCACACTTATCAGATCAGCAAACATGGTTGTGTACTGTGAAACCATGGGAACAAGAAATATTTACAGCATGAACCTCTCTTATAAGGAGCTGTTAAAATCAATTCCA